TTGTGTGGGGGTAGGCGTAGAGGGGGAGGTGTGTGTGTGTGTGTTTGTGTGTGTGTGTGTGTGTGTGTGTGTGTGTGTGTGTGTGTGTGTGTGTGTGTGAGTGTGTGTGTGTGTGTGTGTGTTTAGAGGTTGTGTGTTTGTGTGTTTTCGAAAATGATATTTTTATGCGTGTGCTTGCACATTATAATTTTTATAAGTTTCATCAAAAATACAACTCATGCATAACATTCCATTAATGAATCTTACGAAGAAAGTAATTTACAATTTTCATTTTAGCCCCCCCCCCCCAAAAAAAAACGAAAAAAAAAAAATAGACACAGAACGAAACCATTCTGAGCGAAACGAATTAAAAGTTCCTTCAAGTGTAACAAATTCGAACGAAAAAAAAAAAACAAAAAAACATCCAAAAAATTAAAGAAAAGAATTCTAATAACGAAACATTTTTTTTCCCAAAAATAAGAATCACCAAACATAATTTCATAAATCATTCCAACATTAAAAAAAAAAAAAAAAAAAAAAAAATCACAATAAATAATAAAGCTTCTCCGGGGAAAAAAATCCTCTAACTCCTTTTCCTCATATTATCAGGTTAACAACGATGACCCCGATTCAAATCTATTTCAATTATCTATAATGAGAGTGACTTACAACTGCACGAATGCTTTTGTATTAAGAAAAACAACAAAAACAAATGATTGACATATATGTATGTCTATGTATATATATGTATAATTAGATAGATAGATAAAGAGAGAGAGAGAGAGAGAGAGAGAGAGAGAGAGAGAGAGAGAGAGAGAGAGAGATCGCTAACATGCGCCTTCGTATGTATTTATGTATATATATATATATATGTATATATATATCTATATATATATCTATATATATATATATATATATATATATATATATATATATATATATATATATATATCATATATGTTTATTTCATATATATATATATATATATATATATATATATATATATATATATATATATATATATATATATCATATATGTTATTTATATATATATATATATATATATATATATATATATATATATATATATATATATATATATACATATACACATAAACACACACAAACACACACACACACACACACACACACACACACACACACACACACACACACACACACACACACACACACACACACACACACACACACACACACACACACACACACATGCACACACGCACACACACACACGCATACACACTCACACACACGCACACACATATATGTACACATATATGTATATGTGTATTTATGTATATATATGTCTACTAGCATAAAGCCTTTTCATAATTTATACAAAGCACTACCAAATCTGATGGAAAATAGGACCGTAAATTATGCAAAAATGAGACTTCCATGAGCTTACTAATGACTGATTTTTTCTGGTCCCTTTTATATTCCCAAAGAAAGACTTGCCTTCATTAGATTAAGAAGCTTATTAAGTACCCTTCTGTAACAAGAGGCTCGCTTTCAATCTATTTTTTACATTTCTTTTACATCTATTATGCTTGCATTTTCGTCATGCTTCTTATATTTTGCCATGAGGACGCTAACATTTTGTTTTTCTTAAATCTCATTAAAAAAATCTTGTATGCCGCATGAACATGACAACATAAACTCCATTTAGGCGTTGAATTTATTTATTTTGTTCTTTTCCTTTAAACTCTAAACTTGTTCATCTCTCCTACATGTTTAAAATAGACATGTTAATTATGTCGAGGTCAACAGCTGGAATAACAATTACAACAAGAACAGAAAACAAAGAAAATGTCAACAGCAAATGATAATTGTAAGTAATGATATGAACAATTACACCAAATGCGTTATTAGGAGCAACATAAACAGTGATAATGAACGTCCTCACTAACAAAGCAATGACAGCAATTGCAAAATTAAAAGTACTAGAGAATGGGAGTAAAGGAAACAAAAAAATATAAAAAAAACAAAATGAGGGAACAACCATTTGCATATTACAGCGCACACTAGCCTGTTTGTCATGGATATTATATAAATCCGGCGTTAATATTGGAGAGGAGATGACCATATCATAAAACCGCAGCCGAGTGTTAGTTACAGCAGTTATCGTAAAGGATTAATCGTGGGATGTAAAATATGATTTTTTTAATGACCGGAATATATGACCGGATAAAAAAAAAAAAAAAAAAAAATGTAGAAAAATATAAAGCATACCAAGAGAAGGCAATAATAATAACTATATGACCTAACACAGAGCCAGAAATTTATATGTTTAATCTGCAAAATCTGTACCTTGGACCACAGACATTTACGGGATTCCATCACAATTAACCAAATGAATCCTCATTTGCATATCCGCATTTTAAGTGTGAAGGTTTCCTTTCTCCATTTTTTTTTCGCTATCTTTTCCACTTACTCCTTTTTCTTTCTTTTGGATCGTTCAGAATTATTTTCTCTTTTTATATCGGTTTTAGAACTGTGAGTTATATTACTGTGATGATTATTTTCATTACATTTCGGCGTGGTATGACTTACGGAACATACGAATACTCTGGAGAGAAATACCTTCCTTCGAAATTCTTCAAAGGATTTAAATTATACGAAAAAAAATCTAATATCTCCTCATAGAGTCCATTAAATTTCGCTTCAGTTCCCCAATTCTTTCATTTTTTTTCGTGTTTTTTCCCCTCTTTTATTTGCCTTTCTCTTGCTTCCATTCGCCTCTACAGCGTTAACATTAATTATGTTTTTGAAGGAAATGTTTACATCGTTTATTGTTGTCTTGTGCATCTATTTCCCTTCCAATTTGTGGTTATTTTCCCTTCCCTTCCTCTTCTCTTTCTTAATGTTCTATCTTCATTTGTCTGTGATTTATTCTTTCTTTCCTTCTTCCCATTTCATAAACCTTCTTAGTTCAACTCATATTTTCCTTTTCTCCTCTTCCTCCTCTTATTCTTTTATCTCTATAATGGCTTCTCTTTCATGTCTCTCTCTCTCTTTCTTGCCCTGTCTTTCTCCCGTTTTCTGTAATCTTCTTCCGCTTTCACTACACTTTATTACTCTTTCTCCTATGTTCTCAGTTTTGAAGGTTTTATTTCTTGTCCGATTCTGTTTTATTCTCTCTCTCTTTGTTTTCCCTTTATCCTCTTTTCTCCTCGTTTCTATTCTGTTCTAGTCCCTTTTCTTTTGTTCTGTTCTGTTCTGTTCTTTCGTCTCTCTTTTCCTGTTTTCTTATTTTCTCTTCCTTTTTCTTTTCTTTTTCTTTTTGCCTCTTCCCATCTCTCTCTTTCTCTCATTCGCTCGTCCTCACCCTCTCTCACTCTCTTATTTTCTCTTCCTTTTTCTTTTCGTCTCTTCCTATCAATCTCTTCCTCTCATTCGCTCGTCCTCACCCTCTCTCACTCTCTCTCCTTTCATCTTCTCTTCTCGTCTCTCCTTTCTCGACCTCACTTGTCTTTATCCTTCACTCACTCTTTATCAGCCTTCCTTCTCTCCCTTTGCTCTTCCGCTCTTCGAATATCCTTCCAAGATTCTGGGTGTCCCCTATCCCCCTCCTCCCCTTCCTTCCTTCCCTTTCTTGCTTCCCCTACGTTCGATGGTCTTTTCTTTACCTTTGTCTCTCCTCCCTTCAGATGTTTTCCTGGCCCGTCTAATCAGTTAGTCACTTCAGCCTCACTTCTCTCCTCACTTCAAGCCTCTCCTCCACCTCCTTTCTACCGTTTATCTAGTCACTTCATCCGTTTCTTCACTCTCTCCTCCACCTCTTTAACCTTTACCTAGTCACTTCATCCTTCTTCTCTCTCTCTCCTCCTCCTTTCTACCTTCAGGAAGTCACTTCAATCCTTCTCTCTTACTCCTCCTCATCTGTATCCTTCACAAGGTCACTTCATCCTTCTCCTTATTCTCTCCTCCTCCTCTTCAATCCTTTCCACTCACTCCTACTATTCACCAAGTCACTTCATCCCTCTCCTCTTCCTCCCTGTCTCCTAGTCACTTCATCCTTCCCTCTCCTCACTACTACTCTCCACCCAGTCACTTCATCAGTCTCCTCCTCCTCATTGCCTATCACCCAGTCACTTCACTTCCTTCCTACTCCTACTCCTCCCCTCATTCCCTTTAACCCATGCCCCCATCCTTCCCCCCCTGTGCCCTCCATCCCTCCCTCTCACCCCCACCCTCACCCCCACCCATTAGCACCCCCTCCCCTCTCCCCCCTCACTCCTCCCCTCATCCCCTTTAACCCTTCCCCCCCATCCCTCCCTCTCATTTAACCCTTCCCCCCATCCCTCCCTCACCCCCCACCCTCACCCACATCCCCCACCCTCCCTCAGCACCCACACCCATTTAACACCCCCCTCTCTCCTCCTCCCCCCCCCCGGCGCTGCCTTTGATCCGCAACACGCGCCTTCGTCTTCTCTCTCTCTCTCTCTCTCTCTCTCTCTCTCTCTCTCTCTCTCTCTCTCTCTCTCTCTCTCTCTCTCTCTCTCTCTCTCTCTCTCTCTCTCTTAACTCTTTCCTTAAGTGATATTGTCTCCGGCCCATCGTAGTTCTCGCTGGGTTTTCATTAAAGTTCTTCTTCTTCTTCTTCTTTTCTTCTTCTTCTTCTTTTCTTCTTCTCCTTCTGACGGTCTTTGGCGGGAGGAGAAGGGAGGGGGTGGTGGTTGGTGGGAGGGAGGAGGGGAGAGGGAGGGGTGGAGGGGAGGAGAAGGAAGGAGGGGGTGCGAGGAGGGAGGGGGGAGGGGGGGGGGGGAGGGGAGGGGGTACATTGGGGGTGGTGGTGGGGGGAGGGAGGGGTGGAGGGGAGGAGAAGGAAGGAGGGGGTGCGAGGAGGGAGGGGGGAGGGAGGGGTGGAGGGGAGGAGAAGGAAGGAGGGGGTGCGAGGAGGGAGGGGGGAGGGAGGGGTGGAGGGGAGGGAGGGGTGGAGGGGAGGAGAAGGAAGGAGGGGGTGCGAGGAGGGAGGGGGGAGGGAGGGGTGGAGGGGAGGAGAAGGAAGGAGGGGGTGCGAGGAGGGAGGGGGGAGGGAGGGGTGGAGGGGAGGAGAAGGAAGGAGGGGGTGCGAGGAGGGAGGGGGGAGGGAGGGGTGGAGGAGGGGAGGGGGTACATTGGGGGTGGTGGTGGGGGGAGGGAGGGGTGGAGGGGAGGAGAAGGAAGGAGGGGGTGCGAGGAGGGAGGGGGGAGGGAGGGGTGGAGGGGAGGAGAAGGAAGGAGGGGGTGCGAGGAGGGAGGGGGGAGGGAGGGGTGGAGGGGAGGAGAAGGAAGGAGGGGGTGCGAGGAGGGAGGGGGGAGGGAGGGGTGGAGGGGAGGAGAAGGAAGGAGGGGGTGCGAGGAGGGAGGGGGGAGGGAGGGGTGGAGGGGAGGAGAAGGAAGGAGGGGGTGCGAGGAGGGAGGGGGGAGGGAGGGGTGGAGGGGAGGAGAAGGAAGGAGGGGGTGCGAGGAGGGAGGGGGGAGGGAGGGGTGGAGGGGAGGAGAAGGAAGGAGGGGGTGCGAGGAGGGAGGGGGGAGGGAGGGGTGGAGGGGAGGAGAAGGAAGGAGGGGGTGCGAGGAGGGAGGGGGGAGGGAGGGGTGGAGGGGAGGAGAAGGAAGGAGGGGGTGCGAGGAGGGAGGGGGGAGGGAGGGGTGGAGGGGAGGAGAAGGAAGGAGGGGGTGCGAGGAGGGAGGGGGGAGGGAGGGGTGGAGGGGAGGAGAAGGAAGGAGGGGGTGCGAGGAGGGAGGGGGGAGGGAGGGGTGGAGGGGAGGAGAAGGAAGGAGGGGGTGCGAGGAGGGAGGGGGGAGGGAGGGGTGGAGGGGGAGGGGGTACATTGGGGGTGGTGGTGGGGGGGAGGGGAGGGGGTACATTGGGGGTGGTGGTGGGGGGAGGGAGGGGTGGAGGGGGAGGGGGTACATTGGGGGTGGTGGTGGGGGGAGGGAGGGGTGGAGGGGGAGGGGGTACATTGGGGGTGGTGGTGGGGGGAGGGAGGGGTGGAGGGGAGGAGAAGGAAGGAGGGGGTGCGAGGAGGGAGGGGGGAGGGAGGGGTGGAGGGGAGGAGAAGGAAGGAGGGGGTGCGAGGAGGGAGGGGGGAGGGAGGGGTGGAGGGGAGGAGAAGGAAGGAGGGGGTGCGACTCTCTTCTTAGTCATCCACCTTCATCCACTGGTTGCCTCCACTCTCAAATTCAGCTCCATTTATCTCTTCCACACTCATCCACATCCTCAGATTCAATTTACTTCCACCCTCATCCACCCTTTACCCATCCAGTTTCTCTTCATCCACCCTTCCTATCTCTCTCCATTCTCACCCCCCCTCTCCCTCCACCCTCATACCCCCTCCCCCTCATCCACCTTCCCCCTCCCCCTCATCCACCTTCTCCCTCCACCCTCATCCACCTTCCCCCTCCATCCTCATCCACCCTAATCCACCCTCCCCCTCCATTCTCATCCACCTTCCTCCTCCACCCTCATCTACCTTCCCCCTCTACCCTAATCTACCCTCCCCCTCCATTATCACCTCCTCCCCCTCCACCCTCACCCCCCCCTTCCTCATCCATCTCCTATCCCTCTTCCTCACTAATCCACTTAATTTCCACTTTCCCAACAATTGACACAAATATTTCCCTCGGATTGATGGTAACGGCCTCCCAAATGGGGACCGGGTCCTTTATGGTATTAAAAATATTTATGGGTCGTGACAGTCATTTCTCTCCACGTTTCTCTATTTCTATATTTCAATGTTTCTGTTTCTGTTTGTTGTTTACTTTATGTGGCTCTATCTTGTTGATTTTCTTTTTACCTCTTCTTTCTTTCTTTCTTTCTTTCTTTCTCTCTGTCTCTCTCTGTCTCTCTCTCTCTATCTATCTCTCTCCCTCCCTTCCTCCCCCCCCCCTCTCTCTCTCTCTCTCTCTCTCTCTCTTTGCAAATGCCATAACCATGCATACGTCAAAATTATTTTCCCCAGGGGAGGCAACTCTAATCCAATGATAGATTGATTTAGGGGAACAAAAATATTAATTTGAAAGGAAAAAGATTGCTGCAATGTTTCATAAGACTTGGAAGAAAATAATGTAAGTTTTAAATCAATTTGTCAGGAATAATGTCAGGGTTTGCAATTGCTTTTAAATCATTTGAAAGCATAAAACAAAGGCAGTTTTCTAAATTTGTTGTAGATTTTTTTTCTGATGCCGAGAATGGAAGTATGAAAATGAAACAAGGCAGTACCTCTTAGAAGGGCACGTTTCTTAATATAGTTTCGTGGAAGTAGGAGCAGTTATGATAAAGAGAGAGAATAAAGATTGTAAGAGAGGGAGAACGAGAGGGAGGGAGAAGGAGAAGGAGAACAAGGGGAAGAGGGAAGGAGAAAAGGAGGTGGGGGGGAGGGAGAGGGAGAGGGAAAGGATGAAAAAGAGGGAGAGGCAGCGGAAGAGGAAAAGAGAGGGGGAGAGGAAGGGGATAGGGAGACAGAAAGATTGAGGAAAAGAGACGGGGAGAGAGAGAATGAGAGGGAGAAGGAG